TCAACCAAGGATTTATGCAAGAGGCGTCCGCAGCTGCTGAAGGTAGTGCTGGTTCACGTCCTTCTGCATCTGCTTGACTTGGTCTGGCTTCCGCCTAGGAGCCGCCAAACCATGTTGAGGGATTTGGTTGAAGATGGTTGAAGGATGTTGGAGGGATGGGCAGGGGATTTCTGACAAGCAACGCCTTGCTGAAGACATCAAGGGTTCTCACTAAAAAATGAATAGCTTCCAAACTTGTTCTCTACAAATTGACCATCCCCAAAACACTCCCAAAGCAGCTGACAACGGTCATGCGTTTTCCTCGCCGATTTCAGTTATATAATAGCAGGCTGTGCTGCAGGTGGACTGCTCAACTATACTCACGCAATCCTTAGATGTGATCCAGCATGACGACCTCCGTTGCGTTCATGGGCGTCGATCACTGGCCAGGCGCAAGGCAGCAACCTCTTTCTCCAACTTCTCAATGCGTTCTTCCAGCTCTGGAATGGCTGCATTCTCACTCGTCAGCACCCATGGGCTTGAATCCACACTTCCTGTTGCCATAGCCTCCGACTCGCACTGTTCCACCATACGCTGCACAAACAGCAAGAAGATCCTGTGCTCCAATTTCTGACTGTCACCCCAAGTCTTGCTGAAGGTGAGGATCCACCGCTGCTCGTGATCCCACACTTGTTTGAAGCTTTTGCCGACGTGAGTTTTCCCAAAGCTCACTTCCTGCTGTTCAAGCTCCTCAAGAGACATGTTCTCAAAGACAGAAAAGTCTACCTCCGCCTTTTTCTGTGTTCGCCCTCCTAGCTTCTGCAATGTGGCCAGACGATCCGCCAAAGAAGGCATAGTAGAAGAAATGAAATCCAAATGCGGGGATCAGTGGGGCCTCTCACAAAAGAACCTTGAGCAAGCTGAGGTCTTACAGGTGTCCAGCGAAAGAAGTGATGTACATGGATGAACCAGTGCCTCAAAGACTCCTAAAGATTAAATGGTTCCAACCAGTGGTTTGCAATATCCTCTACAAAATGCAAGGCCCATATGACCACTGCACCCTTTACTTTCAGGCAAGTGGCAGTGGCATCATGTGCAGCTGGAAGATCGTGTTTCTCTTGAGGGTCTGCAAGTGGATCCACCGCGCGCGCCTAGCAGAACGGAGGCATGGGAGAGGGGTGGCCAAGTAAGATCTAAATAACCAAAATCTCTACAAAATGCACAACTCCAATGAACCATGATCCGATGCACCACTCCGGCATACTCCGGCATACTCCGACTAAATACCACATGAATTGCCACAGGCAGTGCGGCAGAGTGAAGAAAGAATAGCAAAACAAAAACTAAAGAATCATACAAACATCTACAGACCCTTCAAAGTCTCTACAAAATGCAAATGCTGTCAAAAATCAAACACTCTACTCATCTCTACTCATCATCTCATCTGTATCCCACCAATCCACATCCAACCCACCTCTATGCTAAAGTCAGTTGCCTCTGCAGCACCTTCAGCTAGAGGATCAGGAAGCTGCGGTGGTTCAACGGGATGTGCGTCCTGAGTGCACGCGTTGCAGGCAGCGC